GGGGGTGCAGGGGTCGGGGCACCGACGGGGGTGTTTTGGGGTGGGTGATGGTGGGCCACCCCCACGGTGGGGGTCCGGGGGTCAAACCCCTCCCCCGGCTTTGCCCCCGGGGGCCCCCGCCTAACAACCCTGATTGGAGTTCCCTACGTACAAGAATGCTTGTGGAATACGCCTGCGGTTTCGAAATCGAAATGAGTGTGGTGAACAAGTTCGAGTAAGCTCGCTCTTCATCTCCGCCAAAACAAAAGGAAGTCCTTTTCTATGTGCGAATTGACTCGCTCTTGAACCAATTGGCAAACTAATTTCTTATTATACGGTGACTAAGTCCGAATAAGCTCGCACTTGCACTCTCAGTTACGAAATCGAAATGCTCATTTCAAGTGCGAATTTATTCGGTCTTCAACCAACCAGGCCCCTCAATTTCTTACTATACAGTGGAAATGCTCATTTCAAGTGCGACTCTATTCGCTCTTGAACCAACCACCAACGTAATTTTTACTGTATGGCGAATAAATCCGAATCTACTCGCAGTTGCATTAATATCCGAGTTTATTTGCCGTTGAACCAATGAGGAATCTATTTCTAATTGTACACGGCATAAGTCCGAGTCAACTCGCACTTGTGATCTCCCCTAAGTGCGATGCACTTTTGAACGTGTGAATTTACTCGCTTTTGAACCAACCAGGAATCTTATTTCTTAATGTATGGTGAATGTCCAGATCAACTCGCACTTGTACTCTCGCCGAAATGATCTCCATGCTACGCATTCAATGTGCGAGTCTATTTGGTGTTGAACCCACCACAAATCTATTTCCAGCTGTATCGTGCATAAGTCCGAGTCAACTGACACTTGTGCTCTGGCCTAAATGAGACAAACCATCCGTACTCTATGTGCGAGTCTATTCGCTCTTAAATTTTAGTGTATGGTAAGTCGGTGTCTCGAATGACGCGCACTTGTACGCTCGCCTGAATGCAAGTACGCCCCTTATTCTATGTGCTAGTCGATTAGTTGGTGAACCTACCACATACCTATTTCGTATTGCAAGTTCGAGTCAACTTGCACTTGTATTCTTGCATAAACAGGACCTCCTCCACCAGGAGTGACAATCAACTTGCACCGGAGAGAAAGTGCGAGTTCACTCGGACTAATCCAAGCCGCTTGCACGTTAAACTAACAATAAGGAACAACAGTCCCTCAACTCGCACACGAGAACAAGAGGGAGAGGAGTCAGACTTGTGAGACCACTTGACCTTTAAATCAGGGTCTGGAAGTGCCACAACATCCCTGGTTAGTTAAAGAGCGAATAAAATCGCACATATATAGATTACACGAGCCCAAGAAAAAGAAATGGATTCAAATACTGTTGTCTCATTGTTTTGCGATAAATATTAGAAATGCGAGTTTGCTCCCTCTTGTTTCTTTCCCTGACTTCGTTATACGTTGACGTGATTTTTTTATTGTACAGTTTTTGTGCGAGTCGTCTCTTCAAATGGGTGTCCAAACGGTCCCCTATGTCACGCCACCGCCACCGTCACGACAACCCAGAGAAGACGATGTTCGAGAACGTAGTTCTTGTGACAACAGCCCGGAAGCTCCTTGTGAACGGCCTCGTGATTTGAAAAGAGACTTCTCTATGTTGACCTCAACAAATTGTTCGGGCTCCTCTACGACGTTCAGTCCTCGTCGTATTGTTCGCTTTACCAACGTTCCCGACGGTCAGCGAGTATCTACAGCGCTAATCCCCGATAGTGAGGGTGATCGGGATATGCAGACGATTCCTGGTGGATTGATGTTCGTGGACACAAATTTTTGTGGTGTGTCCGAAACGACTGGATCAGATATCGTGAGGACAACCGGTCGGCTGTATGAAAGCATTGAAGTTACCCAACCCCTAGCATTTGACTATAATCGGTCGTTGGTGGATACAGACTTCTGTGGTACGCCCGATAGAAACGGGTCTGATCGGGAACGGTCCGATACGTCCTATAGAAACAGGTCTGGCCGGAAACAGGCAACGGAACGTCCGTGTGAAAGTGCCGATGCAGGTAAGACAATTGCAAGTGAATCCAGAGAAATTGACTATCCCCTAGGTTTGTTGAGTTCGCAGGTCCACGTACATACTCTATCGATGCCAACCACGGGTGCGACGGAAAATTGGCAGATTGGTTTTGTAAACACAGATTTCTACAGTTTGTCTAAGTCCTCCCGATCTAATTTGCCGAGGATCGTTCCCACAGGCAGATTTGATTTCATGGATGCAGCGCAGCGGTCCCCATCTACGACTCATCCTGGAACTCCCGAAGCGGTTCGTCAGGTTTTGTCTCATCCCCTTCTTGGAGAAAGGAGAAGATATAATCGAAAAAATAGGCCGATTAGAAAGTCTGAACATTCGAAGAGGGTTAAATGTCGATGGAATGAAACTAACATTGCGCTCATCCCAGCGCACAAATGTTGTAAGAACAAGTGTCTTCGGGTCTTAACCATTGACGATATCAAACCAGTGCGCAAAGCTTATTACGAAATGTCCCTCGAAAAGAGGGTCAAGTGGTGGATGCAAACCCTGGACAATTTCACTGCCCTCGACGGTGGTCTGGAAAGAGTCCAACCAGTGCAGTGCAAGCGTTGTGTGTGCATCGTTGGTTGGTGTAAAATAATTGGGATATGTCGAAACACATACCGTCGTTATA